TAAAATCATATTTTAACCACCAAACATCTTTAGAAATAGAACAATAATACATTAATGTCTTTAAAAATACATTAATATACATTAATAAAAATGTCTAACTACAAAAGTTTTTTGTTTTCCTTGAACTTTTTTTTCATAAATTTGGTTGTACTAGTTTTGGGCTGTAATCATAAATTATTTTGTCAGATCAGTTCCAGATTTGTGATGTGAGATTTGTGAGGGTTGTACTCAAAATATTACTGAAATTCTGTACTTTTATTTTGCAGTTGATCGTAATTAAAATATTTAATCATTGTTTACATATGGATATGCATCTACACTCACTTTATTAGGTATACATGTCCAACTGCTCATTAATGCAAATGTCCTAATCAGCCAATCACATGGCAGCAACAGACATGGTCAGGATGATCTGATGCAGTTCAAACTGAGCATCAGAATGGGGAAGAAAGGGGATTTAAGTGTCTTTGACCATAGCATAGTTGTTGGTGCTAGACGGGCTGGTCTGAGTATTTCAGAAACTGCTGATGTACTGGAATTTTCACGCACAACCATCTCTAGGGTTTATAGAGAATGGTCAGAAATAGAGAAAATATCCAGTGCATGGCAGTTCTGTGGGCACAAATGCCTTGTCGATGTCAGAGGTCAGAGGAGAATGGCCAGACTGGTTCAAGCTGATAGAGAGGCGACAGTAACTCATATAACCACTCGTTACAACCCAGGTATGCAGAAAAGCATGTAAAGTTTGATGTCTGTAGCACTAATTATATCCATTATGTGTGGACGGGGCTGCAGATTTACAGTAAAACACTTTGGGAAAACGGCGCTAATATAAACATTTATAACTGAACTACGAGCCAACTGCAGTGCAGACATGATGTGACCGTTTGCACCGCACCGCAGGCATTGTGTGCTGTCTGCGAAACTGCACAAACCCCTGGGAAAGCATGAGGTCAAAGATCCCAGTCATGCAAAATTTCCTAGAGAGACTCTCTGTAACTGGGGTCGTGGCGGTGAACACACAGCTGTGTGACAAACACACACACACACACACAGGCCAAAAGATACTCAAATCACCCACACTGAAAGAGAGAGCTGCCAGACGGGATCCAATGCACCAAGGGCGGCCCATAAGTAGGTCAGTGTTCATGGGACAGGAGCACAGCTGTGTCTGCATCTCCTCTCAGTCCCGCATGAGGACGACAACGCAAGGAGACACGGCTATTTTTAAAACCTGCATTTTCCAAAGAGCGACTGTACAAACATATTCTTCAGATGGTTTCTCTGAATTCGATGTGACATTTTGCGGCAAATATATGACGGATGCCTGAAAATGCCGTAAATATTTTCCTTCTCTGAGTATTTGACTTTTTTAGAGCCATCACAACAGATGACATGCTGCAGCAGGATAAAGAGTGTCCTTTCAAGACCTTTAACTGAGATGGTTTTGGGCTCTTTTCTGAGGCTGAGGTGTGATTTTTTGGATATTTGGACGTTTGGTCAGTGAGTGCGTACCGTGACTTTGTGTTGGCCGGTGAGGTTTGGCCATTCGCACAGCAGCTGCGTCTCTGAGAGCGTCAGGACACATGGCGTTTCTCCAATAAACACGGTGTAGTTCAGTCTGGAGTTTCCAGGAGCGGCAGGAATTAAATTACGACCCTGTAAGACACAGGAAAAAAAAAAATCATAAAAGACATGAAAAACAAGATCAAACGCAGATGTGAAATTTTTATTGTTTAGACATGAAATCCACATAATTTTCAAACTGACTAGTATCACTTTGACCTTCACCTCAACACTTCCACACATATGTTATAATGCTCCCCTTGGCCCCTCTACATAATTTGTTTTGATATTATTGATTATTATCTATGACTGGTGATGAACGTTACCATGTTAGCCTGCACATTGAGATATTGGAGCTACTGGATTTACAACATGTTCATTTGTATGAATTTGTATTTGTTTGTACTTGTTTATAGCTATATTCTACTGTAACATGCTATGTCAGTTAGCATCGGATTATAAATTGACTTTATGATAGAAAGTACCACTTATCCCTTTTGACCCTATAAAACCCAAAAAGTTAATGTAACTTAAACCATTTGAGAAAACCGATTTCAACAAATAATTAAGAACAAAAACTAATCCTAATAAGTATCCATTTGAGTAAACGAAGCAATTTGATCACAGTAAAACCCGATAGATGAAGAGAACTCAAACTAACTGAGTACTGTGAAACGCTAAAGGAAAAAGATTGCTACAAACCATTTGAGCTACAAAACTAATCTATATGAGTGCTGTGAACTCACTCCATTTAAGCTGAAGTAATGAGGTATTTAATTAACTCATTATCTTCAACACAGAGTTCAAAACTTTTCAAATGAGTAGAATTAACTTTCAGTCAATAATGAGTTAACTACACTCATTTCCTTTGATAAAGTTGACTGTTGGATTTTACAGTGTAGGTACATCCCTGTTACAAACCATAAATGGTATGTTTCTATAGTACTTGTGTGCCTTTAAATGTCTGAAAATAAACACAATGGGCTCTATTTTGACGGTCCATGCACCAAACGGAAAGCGCAGGGCACAAACGCTTTCAGGGCGAGTCAGAATCCATATTTGCTAATTTAAAGACGGGAAAATCTGCTTTTAAACCATGCGTGGCGCATGGTTTAAAAGGGTTGAGTTTATTTTCTTAATGAGTTATAGGTGTGTTTTGAGAATAAACCAATCAGAGTCTCATCTCCCATTCCCTTTAAAAGCCAGCTGCGTCGCGCCATAAGCGCATTTGCTATTTACAGGACGTAAAGTAAGTGGAAGTGGAAAAACTGAGCATTTCACAAGCAAACAGTTAACAGTTTTTTTACAGAAAACAGTTAAACAGAGCATCTACCGCGCAAGAATGAGAGATAAATGATCTGCTTTCACTTTCGCTCTTGGATAGGGAAACCTTTACGCACAAACATCAATTAGCCTATAAATAATTAATTTTGCTTGTTAAGCGCAAATATTTGTTTCAAAACTATTTCTAAATTCAGTTCTAATTTCCAGCAAACGAATGAATGAACAATAATAACAAAGTGTGGTCAAAAGCCTGAGTTATATCCTAAAACACATGCTGTGCCCCATATGGTCTAAAACCTGCAGGTGGGCAAATCTAAGCTTGTTTTTAATAAAAAAATATAAATATGGATATAATAAATAATACTGCTAATAATATATAACATTATACAAAAGCAAATTGTTATGAATGAACTGAAAAAACCTCCCGAGATAGGGTTATCCTTAATATTTTAATTTTTCATATGTAAAGATATTTGCGTATTGCTCTACATCTTGTGTGTAGGCAATTAAGCAGTGCGTAAGCGAGGCGCAACTCTGCGCTGGAGTTTAGACCTGGTTTGTTTTGGTCTAATGAAAAATCTATTATAGTTTCTCAAAATAGTAACGCGCCAGCAGTGCGCCTCAGAACGCTTTCCTTTTTAGACCAGAATGCCTATGGGCGCACATATGAGTGCAAATGCAATTGCTATTTAAAGAGGCCCAATTTGTTTGACAGCACTTGTAAATTGTGATTTATGACAAGCAATAACTACAGTACATTCTGTTTATGACCCCAAATAAATAATTTTATATAGCATTCTTAAGCAAGATATGAATATTTTGTGATTTCCTTGATATTTTTAATATATTTTCGTTTTATGCTCAGTTATAAAGAAATATTTAGCAAACATGCATTTTTATAATATAAACACATAAGCAATATTAAATAAATTCAATAAAACAGTTTTGTTTGTGATAAAAATGAATGATACATATAAAATAATGAATAGAAATTTCAATTTTTTGTAAGATGAACACTGAAGATGCTTGCAGGAGAAAAAGAAAATCCTTTAAAGGTTTTCAAGATAACACCAATGGCTGTTTTTTGTTGGAACTAAATTTAGCATCACACAACCTTGTACATGTAAAGGTCATGCAGATATTGATTTTAAAAAGCAAAAGAAAATCCTAGAGGGCTGAAAAGATATGAACATTTCCTGTGACTGATCTCCTCAATGGAGATAAACAGCTAGGGAAATACAGCGCGTCCACACGGACAGAAGAGACCGAAAAAGAGAAATGTTGACGAACAACAGCAAAGCATCAACATCCCCCTCCATCCTGAGGTTCAGCAAGGCCACGGCACGACGCTCTTTAATGCAAATTCTGCTCATCTCATCCGCGCCGCCAAGCCCAGATCAAATTAGATGAGAAATTAATTGCGTGGAGAATGTGATGCATCTCCAGAATATCCCTGATTATTTCACCAAATTGCATTTTCGCATTTTCCTTCGCTTTGCTAATGCACCGGGTTGTTTTCTCCCCCCCCCCTCTCCCTGAATAAGCCAGGCGGGGGATCGGGCATTAAGTAAAAAGGTTTCGTTAATAAATTTCCATTTAACAAAGAAATATCACCCGACATGCTTCGACTCTCACCTCAGTTGGTTTAAAGAAAGGAGAAGCTTTCATTAAAGGAGAAACTAGTCAGTGTCTGTGATCAGCATGTTTAAAAACAAAGAGATGAAGAAGTAGTTGTTTGTTTAGAGCAGAAAAAAAATGTCTAAACAAAGAAAATAAAACATGCAAACATGTAACATTCACCTAACATTGGGTTTACATTTATTTATTTATTTATTATTATTCAAACACCTTCTTGCTGTGAGGCGACAGCTCTACCTATTGCGACACCATGTCGCCTATTATAATTATTATTTATGTATATTTATATATTTTTATTATTATTACTATTTAAAGACCCAAGTAATAACATTCTTTTTGGTTTTCATTATTATTATTATTATTATTATTATTATTATTATTATTATCATTATCATTATCATTATCATTATTATTATTATTATTATTATTATTATTATTATTATTATTATTATTATTATTCAAAGACCCAATAACTTTTTTTTGTTTTTTATATTTTTGTAACAACCATAAGATTTAAATTCCTAAAACACTGCAGGTTAGTTATAATTTTTCATTAATAAAAATAAATAAATAAATAAATAGAACATCCACATTTTTATGTAATTATTTTGTGTTTGTAGAACATTGCAGGGTGGATATTTTTTAACCACCTAAAATAATTTAAACACAACACACAGTCTGTGTTTTATGTTATTATTTTGCAACCATAAAATAACTTTTCCAGAACGTTGCAGAGTGGTTATGTTTTTAAATAATAATAAAAGGTTTTAGGTTATTTTACATCCTAAAAATAACATTCTCAGATTGTTCTCTGTGTACAGTTTATTATATATATTATATTATATTATATTATATTATATTATATTATATTATATTATATTATATTACATTACATTATATTATATTACATTACAGTACATTACATTATAATATATTATATTACATTACATTACATTATATTATATTATACCATATTATATTATATTATATTATTTTATATTATATTATATTATATTATATTATATTATATTATATTATATTATATTATATTATATTATATTATATTATATTATATTATATTATATTATATTATATTATATTATATTATATTATATTCCCAGAGATGGGTTGCAGCTGGAAGGGCATCCGCTGCATAAAACATGTGCTGGATAAAATTTGTTATTTGTTATTTGATCAAAAACAATTCTTTCTCAAGTTATATGTATGGGAACTCTATGGAGATATAAGAATTATTATTATTTTCTATTTAACATTAGTCTAATGATCTGCCAAAAAAAATAAAATAAACATCTCTGTCTAAAAAGAAAACTTCCCTCGCAAACCAAAAATATAAAGTAAATTTAAATAAAATAAAATAAAATATATTAAAAAATTAAAGGAAAAGTAAAAAAAGAAAAAAAAAGAAAATTATTTTTAAAAAGAAAAATAAATCACTAAATATGGAGAAAAAAACCCTGATTCATTATCTAAATTGAATGTTGTTTTCCAGTACCTTCAGGATGAGTGGGGATGTTGGTTTGAGCTCCAGGATGCCTGTGGGACTGAGGGGTTCAAAGATGGGGTCCGGGTAGTAACTGAAGCTCTCGTTGACCACCACAAGAGCGTGAACATTGTCCATGTAGAAGCCGATCTCATCTGGTCCACTGCCGGTCTCAGCAAAGCCTCTTTCTGAATCAGCCACCGACGGGGCCAGACAGACCATGACCGAGTTGTTGAAAACCGTGCAGTTCTGTGCAAAAGAGAAACAAAAAGATAGACAAAATAACTTAATATGCACTTTTTAGAACAACAGTATAGTATAAAGTGTAATGGGATTTTATAAGGAACAAATTATTAAATAATTCATGCATGAAAATGACCTACAATAATGCATAATATTTAATATTTGTGCAGATTATGGGCAGAGATATGATGTGCAACATAACTCAAAAAAAGAGTGTTGACATGACATGTAGAACTAAAGAAGATATGATTTTTCCAAGATTTTTATTTGTCAGGGCAAGTTTTAAATGTTAGTAAAACTGTTAAATATTTAGGTCATGTCATTACTGCAGTCATGACTAATGATAAGTACACAGAACGTCGAAAGTTATATGCTCAAGCAAATATGCTGTTGAGAAAGTTTTATTTGTGTTCAAAGCAGGTTAATGTAAACCTCTATAGAACTTACTGCAGTTCTTTATACACAGCTCCTCTCTGTTATAATTTTTCAAAAGAAAGTCTCCATAAGCTGCAGGTTGCATACATTGACTGCATGAGGATACTTAAAAACATAGATGGTGTAGTGCAAGTTATTTATTTTGTAAGCTAAGAGTTTGATCATTTTTTACTTTGATGGGAAATTTGATCTATAAGTTTATCCGTCGATTGGAGAATTCTCAGAATAATATTTTAATGTTGTTGATAAACCCCTAGGCTTACTGTTTTAACTGTTTTGTTTTTTTTAAGGTATTTTTTTAAGGTATATTGTGTGGGTTGTCTTTTGTACCACTAGACCTAGTATTATAACAATATGATATGGTTATAAAATAAATAAATAAATAAATAAATAAATAAATAAATAAATATAAAAATATAAAATGTAAAAAAAAAATATCAAAGTTTAGATTTTTTTTTTTTCAAAGTTTTTTACCTTTATATTTTAGAACCACAAAATAATATTTCTTGAACTTTGCCCGGTGGTTATTTTTAAATAATCTAGACACAACGTTCTGTGAATATTAGTTTAATGTTATTATTTTGCAACAATAAAATTACTTTTCCATAATGTTTCAGAATGGTTATGTTTAAATAATCTTAAAAATAAATAACTAACATAGTTCATTCCCATCATTATTTTTAAGGATATTTTACAACCTAAATATAACCTTCCAAGAATGCCCTCTTTATTTATTTATTTATTTATTTATTTATTTATTTATTTATTTATTTATTTATTTATTTATTTATTTAAAATAATAACAATAATAGTAGTAATAATAATAGTATTAGTAGAAGCAGTAGTAATAATAATAATAATAATAATAATAATTAATAGCTGTTGTTGTTGTTTTTTTATTATTATATTTTGATAATTATCATTATGATGTTTATAATTATTATAATTATGATCATGATAATCATGATGATGATGATGATGATGATTATTATTATTATTATTATTATTGCAAACCACAATCTAAAAACCACTTTGTTTTTGATGCTTTATGTATTGCAAATTAATGTAACACATTTGATTCATAACTAAACTGTGTGTGTATGTGCACAGTTTATACCTATATTTTTTTAATTATTTAACTAATTGACCTTATTAAATGCTTTAACAATATAATATAATATGATATAATGTAATGTAATGTAATGTAATATAAAATAATATAATATAATATAATATAATATAATATAATATAATATAATATAATATAATATAATATAATATAATATTTAATGTGATAGAGAATACACAGAATACACAGAGATCCTTTAAACTTAAAAAAAAAGAAAAGTGAAAGAAAAATAGAGAAAAAAAGTGAGAGAGATATTTATGTGACCTTTACAACAATAAAAATAGTGGTTAGGATTGTGCATCTCTTGTACGGAGTCCTTTAAACAACAACAGCCTCACGAGAACATGTGCAAGCTTTTGTGAGATGAACATTTAGATGGTTTCCTTTAAGCAAATTAAGCAAGCTGACTAAAAAACAGAGGAAGAAAAAGAAAAAAATGGCAATGGTAGAAGCTGATGTCAGGATACTTACATGGAAGGACTCGGCAGAACCGTATTTGGCACGGATCTTGGGCTCTTTAATGGTGGCCAGGTTGGTGCCGCTGATTGTGAGCAGAGTCCCACCGCTAGGGAGAGAAACAGGAAGTCATCATCGAAACATGATGGGTACAGATCCCACACAATAACCCAATCATAGAAGTCGAGCTCAACACTTGGCCCGCGGAATCTGAAGAAATAGCAGTCTATCAAGCTTTTCCATCCCAAAGGGAGGCAAAACAGAGCAGAGGTAATATATCCCATAATCACTTTTGGCGACGAGACACAAAAAAGGGATTTTCGTGAAGAGCCTGCCATTTAAATACGCTCTACCTCTACATACGTGACACCTGTTTCATAAGTCATAGCAAAGGCTGAGATTACGCTATTCAGAGAACCCATCGTATCAACATTAGAGCTTTACTACAGTCAGATACTGACTGATAGATCAAAAAATATGTTTGATACTACTTAATATTAGTGCTGGGCAAAAGTTAATTGCAATTAATTGATTAATACAGAATAAAAGTTTGTTTTGACAGAATTGTATTGTGTGTACTGTGTATATATATATTGTGTATATTGTTGAAAATATGAGAATCTAGTGCAGGAGACCTGTTACAAGCAGACGTGTTAATTGTTCTGTAGTCATACAGCATCTTCAAGAAGTCTTACAGGTCTAAATGAGTCTGCAAGTCTAACACAAGTCTAAAATGAGTCTATTAAGTCTAAAACAAGTCTTATTTGAGACAGATTACTACTACTACTACCACAACTACAACTACTACTGCTACTACTACCACTGCTACTACTACTACTACTAGTACTACTACTAATAATCATAATATTTATAATAATAATAATATCACTAATAATGATAATAATAACAACAACAAAAATAATAATACTAACAATAATTAAATAATAATAATAATAATAATAATAATAATAATAATAATAATAATAATAATAATAATAATAATAATAACCAAAAATAATGTTATGTAGGTCTTTAAATAGTAATAATAATAAAAATAAATAACTAATAATAATAGTAATAATAATAATATAATAATAACAGCAATAATTAAATAGTAATAACAATAATAATAATAATAATAATAATAATAATAATAATAATTATTATTATTATTATTATTATTATTATTATTTTAAAATAATAATAATAATAATAATAATAATAATAATAATAATAATAATAATAATAATAATATATAATAGCCAAATAATAATAATAATAATAATAATAATAATAATAATAATAATAATAATAATAATAATTATTATTATTATTATTATTATTATTTTAAATTAATAATAATAATAATAATAATAATAATAATAATAATAATAATAATAATAATAATAATAATAATAATAATAAAAATAATAATATTATATAATAGCCAAATAATAATAATAATAATAATAATAATAATAATAATAATAATAATAATAATAATAATAATAATAATAATAATAATGTTATTATGTGGGTCTTTAAATAGTAATACTACTAATAATAAATAATAATAACCAAAATATATAATAATAATACATTTATAAAACAAATTTATTTGTAAACCACCTCTAAACCATGTTCTAATTGGCCTATTGCATAACTAAACTTGCCAATAATTAATAAAGTAGAGCAAACATCCAAAGCAGTAAGAGCATGCTAAGCCAATCATCAGCAAAAACATACTAAAACAAATCAATAAAATACTCTACTGATAATAATAATAATCAGACTTTTTGTCCTCTTGTCATTTGTCTGTTTGATGATGCTGTATGTACATTTATCTCATCAAAACAATCACTGTTTTGTGACACTATTTTGCCTAGAGTTCCCTATACAGACATCTTCCAAAAAAGCCCTTGTGTTCACAAGCTTGTTGACACAGTCTGTGTGTGTGGGTTCGAGTGTGTTTGCCTGTGTGACACCTGCTGTGCCGAGGCCCTAAAGGCCATTTTCAGCTCCAATCAATACAGCCTCACTCAGAACTCACTAACAGGCTCTGGGGCCACAACTTTTGGGTTCCAGTTATGACTGTTCAAGCTAGAGGCCACTTCTGCACAGGCGCAGTCATTTCCGGCTCCGCTTTGATCCATGAATGTGTGTGCGTGTATGTGTGTGTTTTTTAGAGGCAGATGGAGGAGTGAAAGGTATGGCGGTACACACTCCTGAGGGATAATGGCCTTGTTCAAAGCAGGGGCTCTATGGAGAGAGCCAACGCTTGACTCTAGTGGCCTGGGTCAGCAATACAACACATTATGGCACACACAAACCATCACACACAAACACATGCATGTAACCACGCACACAAATGTGAGTAACTACAGAATAATGTTAGTATTGAGGTATAAATGCTTGGTTGGTTTAACAATGTCATGTTGAAAAAGGACTTTTTTAGTGTGCGGTTCCAAACAAGTCCTTCATGTTGTTCCAACAAAAGTTAACTGAACTGCTTTTACAAATTTAAGTGGAATGAACCTAAAACAATCAAGTCGTCACCCAAAAAAACTACAGAATTGTGTTGATTCAGCTCAATAATTATTTCTAGATAATAGATGTATTTTCCCCCTTGTTCTCAATGTCAAAAGATATACACAATCTATATCTTAATGCCTACAGTTTTGACTCATATATTTGTATTCACAATTATTTTCCCCAATATGTATTTTTTGTTGTTGTTATTATTATTGTTATTATTATTATTTTTCATTTTTTTCACAAGAACAACACAATTTTGTAGATTTTTTTATAATAATAAAGGGAAAAATGTCTAAAAAGTAAACACAAAATAACTGTAAAAAAAAATAAATCTGTAATATTTTAAGTCAAAATTATTTAAGTTACATTACATAAAAATATAACTACATCCATGCATTTATTTAGTTTAAATATAGCATTACAGTTTGTCTCAGTCAGTTTGGTGCATTTCTCACAACACTATTTACATTTGCACAACAGTTAATGCATTTCTCATTTGTGCACATCATAGTAGCAGTTTTTCATTCCTTCAAACAAATTACACATGCTTTTGGACATGCATCAATTGCTTTCATACAACTCTCTGCTGTTTTATAACATTTTCATTTATTTATGTCATGTCAGTCAAAATTAACTACAATTGTGAATGCTGAATAATCATTCCATATAAAACTAATAGTCCTCAGTTCATTACTCATTACATACAAAATAGGTGTCAAAATCTGTCAAGCTAACTTTATAAAAAATGTAATCTTTTTTTTTTTCCTGAAAATGTCTTCTAAATTAAACAATTTCATGAATGATTTACAGACCTGTGTATGTTGTAGGTTCAGTTCTAATATGTCCTGCAATATAGTTTACAGCACAGCTCTCTACCCAAAGGAAGTTTATGTTAGTTTTAAATAAGGGTGTTTTTATACTTTTGCACAATGCTGTGAATATATTAGAATTGCAAAGAGCATATGCATTAAAAATGTGAAACATACATATTCAGTGTCTTGTATTCAGATAGCTCACTAAATGCAGTGATGTCTAACTTTACTGTAGTTTTCAAACGGCTGTGCTAATAGTATAATGTGCTGTCTTGAGCTTTTTCAGAAAGAGTCACCAAAATCTGACTAATTTGCATTGGAAAAAAAACTTATAGACTAAACCATCATAATGAAAACACGACAAAGCCATTTGACTACCTTGTTCATTAACAATGGTGTCAGAACTTTTTATCTTGATGACACTGACACTTTTATTGACATGAATACTTGCTTTTGAGGAATGAGCTATTCATTTTGAGCGAGTGACTCGCTTTTGCAGGTTATCAACTAGGTTTTGCAGTTTGTTCTCATTTTTTTGAGAAATGCATTAACTGTTGTGCAAATGTAAATAGTGTTGTGAAAAATACACCAAAGCCACTGAGAAAAAAAAACTGTAGATGTACAAATTTACAAAAAGTCAAATGACAAAAGTACATATTATTATTTATATTAAACATTATACATCACAGTTATGTATTTATTTGTTTAGATAGATAGATAGACGGACGGACGGACGGACGGACGGACGGACGGACGGACGGACGGACGGACGGACGGACGGACGGACGGACGGACGGACGGACAGACAGACAGACAGACAGACAGACAGACAGACAGACAGACAGACAGACAGACAGACAGACAGACAGACAGACAGACAGACAGACAGACAGACAGACAGACAGACAGACAGACAGACAGATAGATAGATAGATAGATAGATAGATAGATAGATAGATAGATAGATAGATAGATATAGAATGATTGATAGAATGACAGACAGACAGACAGACAGACAGACGGACAGACGGATAGACGGACGGACGACGGACGGATGGCTGAACACATGGATAGATGGATGGATGGAAAAAATGACGGACGGATGGACAGATGGACGGACAGACAGACAGACAGACAGACCGATAGATAGACAGACAGACAGACAGACAGACAGACAGACAGACAGACAGACAGACAGACAGACAGACAGACAGACAGACAGATAGATAGATAGATAGATAGATAGATAGATAGATAGATAGATAGATAGATAGATAGATAGATAGATAGATAGATAGATAGATAGATAGATTAAAAGTTCTTCAAAACTATAATGAACACATGAACAAGCCACTATTAGACCCACAGACGTCTTCGAAGCATGACGTCAAAAGCTTCGCCGTATAGCTTTACATTTTATTTTTCCCACCTTTTTGCTCTCCGAGACGGAGCGCTGACACCGCACAAAGGTAAATAAGAAAGTGAGTGATAGAAAAACACAGACGGAGTGCGGGAGAGCGAGCGTCGAGAGCTTCTTTTCATCTACAGGCTTTTAAAGCGTTCAGTCCATAACCCGCAGGTGATAAGTGCTCCATCCCGCCTGCCCCGTCTGACACCGCTGATGGGGTTTCTATAGACTGCTTGTTTTTATTTCACCCTCGACACCGACAGGCCAGACATGCTTTAGTGCAAATCGCTGCTCCTCCCTGGGAAAACTGCAAACCCCCCCCCTCAGCTGACAGGACGCCGGTAACACACGTCTGATCTGAGGACAGCTAAAAACAAGCGCGTTTCTCAAGCTCGTAATGAGTTCTGCTCACGCGTCAAGAGAAAAGCACAAATAGCTCTGTATTGATTTTTATTACTTCTTTGTTGTTTTGACTTGCTTTGGCAAGGTAGAGACAATTGCTATGGTTTTAATTTTGTTGTTTTTATTAAGGGCGAAAGTAGAGAAATGATTGAAAATGATGATTTGAAGCTGTGATTCTCACATGACATTAAGATGCATAACAAATGTATTTGAAAAGAGTAGTGTCCAAATGAAAAGCATTCAATTATTATTAATATCAAGGTGTGAATTATACTTTGATGATCAGGGGGATCAACTTTATCAGCATTGTTAGTTTGTGTAATATTGTCAGAATCACCAGAGTTCTATGCTTGTAGATCATTGGGAATCCTTCACTGTCACTCAGGACAACAAATCCTGTCATGCACCACACATACACACCTGTTCCAGTTGTCTTTTGATTACACTCAAGGACTGATTGCACAGACTAAATTTACAGCACACACAGACTTTGCCAAGTCGTGTTATACTGTATTGTGAACATTACAACGCATTTTCTTTGCCTTGTCGTGTTTGATCTTTGCTTTGTTCTGTTTGTTTACATTGCTTTCTGCCTGTACTTACCATTCTCCTGTTTATTGACCATGATTCTGGTTTCCCTGCATGCATCTGTTTGCCCCTGTTTTAACCATTGCTTACCTGACCATTCTCATAATAAACCTGCATTTGGATCCTCAACTCATCGTCAGTGTCCCTCACATTACAAAAGACTCAGCCAAGTCTGTGTGTGAGTGTGCTCTATATCCATGTAATCAGTACTTGAACAGCTCCCAGCTGTGTGTCTGTGTAATCAGAGGAACACTGGAACAGGTGTGTGTACGAAGTGCATGACTGGACTTGTAGTTCGTAAAGTGACAGAATTGCAGTCCACGTGAAAGTGTGAGTTTACCAATGAACTGCAGCCGCTAGATCACTGGTGATCATAACAAATATATGTTTCATTGAATCAAATGTATGTATTTATTTTTAAAATCAGATGTAATTTAATAATAAAACGTATTTAAGTTTTCAGTTTTTAAAGGAATATTTAGTGTATTCTGACAGTACTCTCTGATTTGGTCATCAAAATACTGCATAAAAAAAGTTATATACTGAATTTGATCATATTTTAAATAAGTAGAAACACCTTGTGGAAAAATCTAGTGGATTGAAGGACAAAGTACAAGGGTTTAGATCACAATTAATTCATATTTTGGCCAGTGCTCATTTCATCAATAAAAATAAGCATGAAAAATGTTCATTGCCTGTAGCTTAAAACAAGTAGAAACAGGACAGGTCTGCTGCAGCTCTGATCCGCTCATCAAATGAATGAAAAGCAAAATTCAGCAGTCGAGCGGATTAGAACCAAAATTAATGATGCTTAGTTTTAATCTTTTTGAATGAATTGGAGTCATTTTTTGTCAATGATATTGCATGCTGATGCAGCCACTGTTAGTATCTAATGATATCCATGTCATCCCATCTTTGTCTCGTCTTAGTCTTGGAAAAAAGTACGTCTTCAAACATGGATGAAATTAAAAATCTGTCATCATGCTCATCCTTTACTCGCTTCATTCCATTATAAGTTTCTTTCCTTTGTTGAACACGAAAGAAGATATTCTAAAAAACCTGTAACCATTGGCGTCCATAATATTTGCTTTGTCTACTATGGAAGTCAATGGCTACAGGTCTCCAAAATATCTTCTTTAGTGTTCAACAGAAGAAAGAAACTTATAATGGTTTGAAACTACACAAGGGTGATTAAATAGCGAGTAAGTTTTTGTTAAATTTTTGGGTGAACTGTCCCTTTAACAATGGTTTTGGGTCTGCACTGTGATCCATGAAGTCTATAAATAGGTCATCAAGTGATTCTTGTCTAAAAAATATGCACAACAAGATGTTTTGGTGTAATAGATGAGAATGATCATATGCATTTCTGTTGCAAACCATGTCTTTTTCTCTAAAAAAGGTTCTTACAGATTGCAAAGTCACATAATGATGAAGCTCCATCTTGATTGGTCAATTTGAATTGACTGAGTACTTCAGTTTGGTCACATGGCCAAGGAAGAGATAAAACTAGATAACTTAGCTTAGCTCTTAGCTCTGGGTCTTTTCTATTCTCTCTGCAAACTTATTACATTCAAGCGCAGTGCACATAATATTACATATTTTTATAATTTCATATTTTTTTATCATGTCACACAGTTATTTTGTAACTGATTCAGCTGTAACCGAAGCAAAACATAGCTATTAAATAGTTTTACCATTAAGTATTCTGTGAATTATTTTGATTTAAACACTTAACACTTAACTGCACCACATTTCAATACAATATAGTCACATAATACAGTAGCAATGCTCTCCCACATAAATAGCTGTTATAACTGCGCTGATTTCCGTCTTTGGTATAAGACTGCAAAGGGTGGCTTGGCTAGAAGTGTTTTACATCATCACACTGATAACCTTTTAAGTCTTTCGGCAGTATTACAATTTGAACCACTGTAGTTAAATTGTCACTCTTAAAGGAACATTAAAAAACAATATTGTCACTCTGAATAACATTTTTAAATGTAAATCATGACAAAAATACAAGATAAAAAGAACATAGGTGCTGTGAAAAATCCAAACTGCAAAGCCATGATTCCAGCATAATATTGAAGTCGTTCTTCCACTGCATTTTGATGTCTCAGTTTTTGTATTTTAATACTGTAAACAACACAGTTGTGTTACCTACCTAGCGATGCTCCAGTCCGGGTCAATCTTCAGGACAGTGGGGTCATCTGTGTAGTTAAACTTCACCTCTGGGTTCCTCAGCTCAGCTGAGTCAATGTCCACCATAACCGGAGTACTTACTGCATTCACGCCGGCCGGGGTCACACACACAATTTCCTTTGAACTCCGCCTACAGACAACAGAGGATAAATGACAGAAAAGAATCAGCTGAACAGCATGTCAATACATTTATATGGTATTACAGTATATTCAAAGTCATCCTTTAAATTTTAAATTTTTTGGTGGAGTGGGGGGGGGGTCTTAGTATTTGCATGTTTAAACCAATACAAATGCCAAACGATCTTCGACAATTTGACAGCAAACGCTGCAAATTCTCACAACACAAACAACTGAAGAAACGCGCAGCAAATGCTCAATCCAAATGCCTTATTCAGTGTGCGTGGTTATTAGTCTAGTTGTACAAGCTCAGAACTTTAAACTAGCACACAGTTAGCATAACTTATAGTTGCTGCAGTTTTATTCCATGCAGAAGTACGGTTTTGAGAAGCCTTTATGATTAATTAACCGTGATGAATTAAAGTGTGGTTAATAGGGAAAGCGGTTAATCATTGCATCCCTATACGGATGACACGTGCATCGTTACAAAGCGTCTTAAAACTATACAGACACAAATGATTTTGTAACTACCACTCTGACACATTCTGGCAAATTAGGAATATTGATTCCTCAACATTAGTCTCTGCTTGGGTCCGGGTTGTACATGTACGGCTGAATGCTGGTCCTCTCACTCATGTTGCTTCTCTCCGTCTACATACCTGTTGCCATACATAAAGAAGGGGAGCTCTTGGCTCCGCCCCCTTATTAAGTTGGGAAGTCGAAACTAATTTCGACCTGTGCACACCCCCAAAATGACACTGTAACACATCACAATAAAAAAAATATTTTAATTGTGCTTTGAACTGAGCCTAAACTGTCACACTCAGAAGAACCATTATATTAATATGAAATCTTTAAAAAGGGGTAAACTAGGTGCCCTTTAATTGCTTTTATTCATTCATTCATTTTCTTTTTGGCCTAGTTCCTTTATTAATCTGAAGTCGCCACAGCAGAATGAACCGCAAACTTATCCAGCAAATGTTTTACGCAGTGGTTGCCCTTCCAGCTGCAGGCCATCACAAGGAAACATCCATACACACTCATTCACACACATACACTACTGACAATTTAGCTTACACAATTCACCTGTATCACGTGACTTTGGACTTGTGGGGGAACCCAGAGCACCCAGAGAAAACCCACACGAACACGGGCAGAACATGCAAACTCCACACAGAAATGCCAACTGACCCAGCTGAGGCTCGAACCAGTGACCTTCTTTCTGTGAGGCGATCGTGCTACCCACTGTGCCACCGTGACGCCTGCTTTAATTGCTTTATCATCTTTAATGTTTAGGTTGAAACTACGTCCCACCAAACAATGTAGCACATTTTAAGATACTTCAGAGAACCTTTTTTTCTGCATGTTTGATGAAGCTCCACCATTTGTCTTAACAAGCATATGGATATCAAAGACTCCGGGTCTCTTTTTCTCTGTCTGTCTGGCTGAGTCTCTCCTCCTGTACTGGAGACGTGCCTGCAATCTCCATGCACATCCCCTTAGTACGTTGCCATGGGAACGCTTTTCAAGATGCACACCCCAGAAATCCTCAGAAGACTGCACATATTTTGACAAGGTGGTTGTTACAAACATACAAAAAAAAAAAAGAAATAGATGGAAGAGTGCAAAAAGAGACTAGTTGTGGTGCGGATAAGCCACAAATTTCCTCAAAGGTAAAATACATTGATATTCAGCGGAATGAAGTTCAAAACGCAATCATTGCTTTGGGATATTTTCTCAGAGATTTAGCATTTTAAATATGTAATTTGGATTACAGACATGTAGAATACATTTGAATATGAATTCGCTGGATATTATGAATGGAAAGACAGAAAGCAGGCACGAGAAAAGAAGCAGGCGTCTGAAAGCAATGGCTCACATGAAAATGAAGATCTCACTTCTTTTGAAACACGTTTGACATCATTTCTTTGGTAAAACACAAAAACAGATGTTTGACTAAATGTTCGAGCTGCTCTTTTCAATGCAATATGAACGACGGCTATCGAGCAAGAGTTGATGATGAAATGAATGCAATTTTAGTCTATTGCTCATACGATGCTATATTTTAATGGTTTTAAATATGTGTATTTAACATGGAGTAGACAAATAGACAAAGAGACTGGAGGTGCTCATGTTCTGTGGCAGGAATAATAGGAAAACCTACCAAACACATAAATACAATACAATTATGTCAATTACCTAGCATAATCTTTGCTGAAGTTTATTTATTCATTAATTTTCCTTCGGCTTAGTCTATATTTCAGAGGTCGCCACAGTGGAATGAACCACCAACTATTCTAGCATAAGTTTTAGACCGCAGATGCCCTTCCAGCCACAACCCAGTATTGGGAATGCGGAAGTTAGATTGTTTAATATTTATTTCAATGAGCGCCAATGTTATTTGGTTTCCTTTGTTCTTCAAAATAACTTATTTTAAAAGCTATAATGGTGTGGTACAATGTGAAGGTGTATAAATTATGACAATAATATTTGACTGAAGTTTAGTTAAGACTTTTTGTGACATCAATGCCCTAGTTTCCAGTCTTTCTGCTGTATTAAATCAAGCTCACTCTTTAAAACATCTTCTTTTGTCTTCCACAGAAGAAAGGAAGTGTATATATCATCTATTTAGATGAATGGAAAGACTCCATTCATTCCACAGTATCATAGAGAGCAGCCTGAACGTTTTTCAAAACATCTGCCTTTATCATCGAATAAAGAATCCTTAAAGATTTGAAACGATGTGAGGGTAAGTACTTCAAACGAGTACAGAATTTTAATTATATGACTGAATAATTATTTTAATTCTTGCTTTCTGGGACATACAAATTAAAATGAGCAGCCTGAACGCTCTTTAAAACATCTTCATTTATTTTCCACAAAAGAAAGGAAGTCTATATATCATCCATATACATGCATAGAAAGACATGATGGGAAGTAAATGATAACAGATATTTAATTTTGTAACACAAATGCCCCTAGTCTCCATCCATTCCGCTATATTAAAGAGAGCAGCCTGAACATTTTTCACAACCTCTACTTTTATCATCAAATAAAGAATCCTTAAAGATTTGAAATGATGTAAGTGTAGGTACTTTAAATGAGTGCAGAATTTTTATTATATGAGTGAATAATTCTTTTTAATTCTTGCTCTCTGGGACATGAAAATTTTAATGAGCAGCCTGAACACACTTTAAAACATCTTCATTTATTTTCCACAAAAGAAAGGAAGTCTTTATATCATCTATATAGATGAATGAAAAGACATGATGGGAAGTAAATGATATCAGAAATTGAATTTTGTGACATGAAGGCCCCTAGTCTCCATTCATTTCACTACACTAAAGAGAGCAGCCTAAACATTTTTCACAACCTCTACTCTTATCATTAAATAAAGAATTCTCAAAGATTTGAAGTGATATGAGTGTAAGTACTGTAAATAAGGACAGAATTTTGATTATATGAGTGATTTATGGCTTCATTTGTTGCTTTCTGTGATATAAATGCACTTTCTCTTTCCCGATCTCTCCTACTCTCATGAATTGTAATAAAGTGAGCAGCATGAACATTCTTTTAAATATCTCATTTTGTGTAACTCATTTGGACCAATGTGAGGGTTAGAAACGATGACAAATTTTCATAGTTGGGTAAACTATTGGTTCAGTTTTTTCTTTTTTTTTGGCATGGAAGCCCCTAATCTCAATTAACTTACACTGTGTTAAAAGCAAGCAGCCTGAACTTTCCTCATAACTTTAAAATGATGCAAGAATGATGTAGAATATTTCATTTAATGATTGCCTTTTGAGGTTTGAACGCCTCTAGCCTCTCTTTAACGTTCATTGTATTAAAGCGAACAGCGTGAACTTATAAATTTGCAAGAATGTAAGTGAGAGTCAATGATATTATTGCATATGTTTGTTTTCATTGTCTTATTAGGAGGTAAATGCCTCAAGTGACTCTAACTGTCACTGTAAAGTAAGCAGCCTGAACATTCATCAAAATGTCTCCTTTCATGTTCGGCATAAGAAAGTAACTCTTATAAACTTGCAGAGATGCGAGTAAGAGTCCATGATACCAGACATATCTTTGAGGTAAATGCTTCTAGAGGTTCCACTAACTTTCACTGTAAATCAAGCAGCATGAACATTCTTCAAAATGTCTCCTTAGATAGTAGAAAGAACTTCTTATCAATGAAGAATAGATAAATGAAGACAGACATATTACAGTATGTGCTCTTTTTAGGAGGTAAATTCCTCTAGTGACTTCCTTAACATTTACTGAAAAGCAAGCAGCATGAACATTCTACAAAGCGTCTCCATTTATATTTTACAGAAAAAGGTAACTTTTAAATGTAGAATGATGTGAGTGTGAATAAATGACGACAGTGATATGTTTTTTGAGTATTTTTAGGAGGTAAATGCCTCTTGTGACTCCATTAACATTCACTGAAAAGAAAGCAGCATGAACTTTCTACAAAACATCTCCTTTTATATGTTGAAGAACAAGGTAACTCTTTTCAATGTAGAATGATGTAAATGTGAATAATTGATGACAGTAATATATTTTCTGAGTATTTTTAGGAGGTAAATGCCTCTAGTGACTCCATTAACATTCACTAAAAAAGGAAACAGCATGAACATTCTACAAAACATCTCATTTTATATTTTACAGAAAAAGGTAACTTTTAAATGTAGAATGATGTAAGTGTGAATAAATGATGACAGTCATATGTTTTCTGAGTATTTTAAATAGGTAAGTGACTCTAGTGACTCCCTTAAGATTCACTTAAAATCAAGCAGCAGGAACATTTTTCAAAACGTCTCCTTTTGTGCTCCAAAATTGTAAGCCATACAGGTTTAGAATGGTCTAAGGGTGATTAAAAGATAAAGAAACATTTATTTCGATTAAAGCATAGCGTCCTCTCACAGTGGGTGAACAGGACAGGGGCGTTCTGAAGTGAACCCTGGCTCTGTGTCCAGGTGTGGCTGACGTCTCAGTCAGCGAGAACCGCGGTAATCCTCATTCTTTCCCTCTCTCATGTCGAAGACTTGGCAGCGAGACAATGTTTTCATTCTCCGCTGCAATGCAGAGCGGTCTGGTGCTACAGATAGACAGGCGGACGGCAGGAACACTCATTCACTGTCCCTGTCCGCCAACGGAAGCGCACAATCGACCGGGACCGCCTGTGCCATAACGCGGCTGATGTTCCTGCCTTCAAAGTGTCTCTTTATGCTGTAGATACACACTGAAGAGTTTAAAAAAAATAGATCTGGGTGTATTGACTGACGGACTGACAGGTGGACGTGCTAAGGTGAGATGCCGGAAGACAGCTTTTTTTTTTTTTTTTTGCAGGGATACAGATAAAGACAACTTGGCAGACGAATAAGCAGAGAGAGCGAGAGAAAAAGGACCGCATTAACAAGCAAGCGGAGACTCCACGCTGGCAAATGCTACACCAAAACAGCCAACAGGCTAACCATCAAACCGACTGGCACGGCGCCTACGGAGCATATAAAACAGTCAAATAAACAAACAGCAACTATATGACGGACAGAAACACAAGTTAAAAGGAAAGCCGGACAGATGGAGAGATAAAACGGTAATAAGACAGACAGAAGGGCAGCCAAAGAGACAAACAGATTTTTTTTTTCCGTCTCTTTTCATATTTTGGAGCTTTTGCTTTATTATTAGACTGGTCACAGGATGGTATCGCTTTTAGATCAGTCAAATGAGGTGGAGGTTTATTTGTAGTCAGATGCATTTGACGTTAGCTGTGTTTCCGTACAAAGGGAATTAGATTATGCGCAAACTAGAATATTGTGTAAAGCATTTTTGCGAATAAAACATTGTTTCTATTCAGTAATTGAAAGAGAACAAAAGTGTCTCTTTCTGATAAACCGGCGCCAAAATTATTAAAAATAAAGATGACACTTGTTGTTGGAGGAGAAGCCACTGTGGGACCTTTTTCTTTTTAAAAAAATGACCTGTCTTCAAGTCAAGTCAAAGTTTATTTATGAAACGCTTGCTAAAAACAACAAGTGCTTATCAACGTGCTGTACACACATACACACCAACTAAAACAAAGGACAAATACAACAGACACATGACTCTCATACATAGATATATACATTAGATGTTGCCTACCTTGTTAATGTCTATTGGAAGTAATGCATCAATAGAGCCGCCATTTTAGTACAGGGTAGCGCTCCTTTGAAATGAATGCAGGACCAAGCTGCAGTGGAGGACTGTGACCATCCAGAGCCAGAGAATTACACGTATACACATATATATCTATGATCGGGAGTTTTCCTGAAGGGTCAGTATGCAATTTTTTTTAAATTATGAAACTTATAATTTTACATCACTTTTCTACATTGATGGATATAATTACACAGGCATTCCTGACCAAAGCTTGTGTTTGTGTATATAATGTACTATCCACCCTCCTTGTTAAATTGATCTAATTCGTGTCCTGAAACACACCCCCTTTACTGCTTTCACTTCTCATACTGACGGAGGGAGCGATTCCTTTGAGAATAAATCTCTGTTATGAACGACTCCTTCACTAGCCGACAATAATACAAGTTTCTGGCAGCGCAGCATCTCGTTGTCATATTCCTCTTGCATTATTTGCTGATTTTATTCAACAAAACTAACATAAGCCCAGTGTTTAGTGCGAGTTGGTATAACTTGCCTTATGGTGAATGCAGTAAGTGACTGTATTATCATCAATTACGTTACCTGTTTAGCACAAAAGTTCATAACATACAAAAACGTAAAAAAACTAAATCTTACCTATGAAATGTTCTGCCTTTGTGCTTTGTTTTCTTTGTTTGTTTGTTCCTACACCCGTAGATAGCGCTAACGTTTAGCATCTTCACGTAGTAACACTGTCTTGACGAGTGCGGTTGAATGGCACTTGTCCTGGGAGCATTGTATAAATATGGCGGCGCTATTGCTCAGGGTCCGTATGCGATATCTAGTGTATATACAGGTATCTATGACTCTCATATAGTATTAAAAGGCAAAGAGTAAAAGTGGGTTTTAAGACTAGATTTGAAAACAGAAAGGGTTGCAGCCTGTCTAACATGGAGAGGCACATTATTCTAAAGTTTGGGGGACACCACTGCAAAGGCACGGTCCCCCCTGGTTTTTAACCTTGCGTGTGGAACAGCCAAAAGTAGCTGATCAGTACATCTAAGTGTTCTTGATGGAGTGTACAATTGGATTAATGAGGACAAGTATTTTGGTGCTAAGTCCCTTTAGGCATTTAAACATCAAAACTTAAATTTTAAAATGTATCCTACACTGTACAGGAAGCCAATGAAGAGAAGCCAATATGGGTGTAATAAGCTCTCATTGGTGTGTCCCCGTCAGCAAACGAGCAGCAGCATTCTGCACCCTTTACAGACGAGTAATGGAGGTCTGGCTAATACCCACATAGAGGGCATTACAATAATCTAGTAGGGTTGAGATAAAAAATATGTATAACCCTTTCAAAGTCGCTAAAATAAAAATAAAAAAAGACTTTAGTTTAGATAATTGCCTCAACTTGAAATAAATACCTTTAATTACCGAGTTAATCTGTTTATCCAGTTTAAAGTCACTATCCAAAATAACACCCAGGTTTTTTACATTAGGTTTTACAAAAGGATTTAACTTTAAAAAAGAAAGACTTGTGGTGGCTTTTAGAAGTGCGAAACCGCTCTTTGGGTCTTTTTGTTATGGATGTAAAAATACTGAACTATTTTGAAGATGGAAACTGGCGTTTTAGAATGACCAAAACAACACTCACCGGCCACTTTATTAGGTACACCTTTCTACTGGGTTGGAACCACTTTCCCCTTCGAAACTGCCTTAATCCTTGGTACTTGGTACGAGCAGTTGGACAGGTGTACCTAATAAAGTGGCCAGTGAGTGTATTTTATAATGTGGTCAGTCCCATGTGGTTTGATCCCATTGCACCTATTTCTTCAATGGGACTTCAGCGTTTCCATTGTAGTTATGTACATAATTACTTTGTTTCTTCCAGTCCCTTTCGATTATAAGATATTATTTGTTACTATAAACAAAAAACCAAAATACCAGAGATCTACATAATTAACTTCTTTATTTTGTATAGGAAATATTTTACTCACAAACCAAAATTAGCGAATACGCATCCTTCCTTTTGACAGTTTTTAATTAAAATTGATGTGTAAATGACTTTTTGGTTAAAAACAAGAAAAGTGACATTCTTGGAATATTTCCATAATTATTAAATATCCAGGATACATTAGTCCTCCTTTATTATTGCTGTATTTGTGTTATTCTTTTATTTTTATTTACTTTTTTATTTTATTTTTACTGTTTTATATGTATTCATAATATAATTAAACTTGCTCTGTTATGTTATTATCATTGTTACGATTACTGTCTTTTTTCTGTGTACGTTCGTACAGTTTTCTGTAGCAGTAATATACAGTTGAAGTGAGAATTATAAAACTCAGTTTGAATTTTTTTCTTTTTTTAAATATTTCTCAAATGATGTCTAACAAAGCAAGGGAATTTTCACAGTACGTCCGATAATAGTTTTTCTTCTGGAGAAAGTCTTATTTGTTTTATTTTGGCTAGAATAAAAAACATTTAATTTTTTTTAATCACCATTTAAGGGACAAAATTATTAGCCCCTTTAAACTATATTTTTTCGATAGTCTACAGAACAAACCATCATTATACAATAACTTGCCTAATTACCCTAACCTGCCTAGTTAACTTAAATAACCTAGTTAAGCCTTTAAATGTCACTTTAAGCTGTATAAAAGTGTCTTGAAAAATATCTAGTCAAATATTATTTACTGTCATCATGGCAAATATAAAATAAATCAGTTATTAGAGATGAGTTATTAAAACTATTATGTTTAGAAATGTGTTGACAAAGTCTTCTCCCCGTTAAACAGAAATTGGAGAAAAAAATAATCAGGGGGGCTAATAATTCAGGGGGGTTATTAATTCTGATTGCAACTTTAAGTCATAGTCCCACTCATCGGCTTTATTAATTGTTTTTGGCATGTTTGTTCTAAGGCAACACTGGGTGTCCAGAGAGGCAACATTTATAAATAAACTAAATTATTATTATTAGTTAGTTTTTATGTGTATTTTCAAAATGTATGCGCATCTTGCCTTTCCGTTAAGCATTTTCTGAAGCGTTATTCAATTGTTAAGTGATTTATTTATCCTGGTAGAAAATGTGGTGGAAGTTTGGCACAAAATATGAATAGAAGAGAAACACTCACTTTTTAAAGTGGCACGGGTGACGTCCAATATTGACCGCAACAGAGCTGCCGGCGTTGAGATGGTTTCCTTCGATTGTGATTCTGGTTCCTCCTGAAAGGGGTCCCTGAGCAGGCTGGACACGGGCGAAATATGGCGTCTAAGGTAGAAAAATTAAATATTGAAGAAAGCATTGCTTGGAAAATAAACCTAAAGCAACAGAAAATTCATTTCTTTCTCCAACACTATATATTTTAATCTGCTTTCAGATACAGTAGAAATTCCTCTAATTTGACACATGTGCCTTTTATTGTATGCTTAAATCACATATGCAAAACAAAATTTAAAGGGATAGTTCACACATAAATGAAAATTCTGTCATCATTTAAATGTTATTCACTTGTTCCAAACCTGTTTCAGTTCCTTTCAACTGCTGAACACAAAGAACAACATATTGAAAAAACACTAGAAACCTGTAACCATTGACATCTATAATAGGAAAAACAAATGGGATAGTTTCCAACATTCTTCATAATATCGTTTTTTTTTTGTGCTCAAAAGACCAACAACAACAACAAAAACTGGTTTGGAAAAAGCAACATTTTCTATTTTGGTTAAACTATCCCTTTCAGTGTAAGGTTTTGTGACATTTTTCATGTGGAGTTTTTTGTTACCATAAAATTTTCCAAAACCACCCATTTAATGTGTGATTTTAACATGTGACTGACTGTAAATTTGATGCTAGTGTATTTTTTCTGTAATTTCTAAAAAAATTCAATGTTTAAAATCTTGTCATTTTGCTTCTCAAGTAATAATAATATGATAATCTAACAATATTATACTGGATATAAGATAAAAACACAGCAAAAAGACAGCAAAATCTGAATGGATATGTAGGATTAAGTGTCTTCGGACTCTTAGATGCTCACCACAAACGTGAAAGCCCTTGGTGAGAGGGCTCTGTAGTCGGCCACACAGTCTCTCACGCAAACCTCTACTTGGGCTTCCTGTACACGGTACCCTGTGGCATCATTCAGCAGACACACAATCCTGCAGAAGAGAGAAATATCACAATCCTCTTTAGGGTTTGTGATTTATAACACTGCCATGTCACCCAAGGCCTCAGGGGGAGGAAGGTGAGTAGATGAATTTATATGTTACAGCACAAGTAAATATTATTGTAATAATTAATCTGTTTCAGATTTATTACCCCGCCCAGACATTTTTTTTTCCTGCACTGCAAGGATTCTTGATTTAGATGCATAAAAGTGGAAATACTAGACCATTTATTGACAACTGATAAATAATCAGAGACCTGAACTAACAGGATTTCACCAATGCATTTTATTCATTGGGTTTGATAGATCATACAGTGAAAAATGTGTTATAGACCTTAGTCAGGCTGAACACCATATTGAGTTTTACACAGATGAAAACGAGAGTGTGAGGAATAGACTTACAACAGCAAGCGTTGTATACACATTTTTTAAAACTGGAGCTCTAGTCTGGCAACAACTAGTAACATGTTGTTCACTTCCATTTAAATCTACTCCTCACAACCATTTCAAGAGTTCACACTTAGCTGATGATTGATTATAAAGCTTGTTTGGAATGCTGTCCCGGGAGAAAGCCCTGAGCTCATAAGATCCTCGAGCTCGGGGCTCCCTCCAGTTTGCAAGACGAGAGAGAACTTCCTTGCTATAGAAACTAATGAACAGATAGTGATTGAGTGATCTTAAGAGGTAACTATTTACTAGGAGCATGTCTATGGTGGTGATTTGAATTAGTCAATTAACTTAGTGGTGCATTTTTTTTGACGGTGGGAGGAAACCAGGCAACCCAGGGGAAACCCATGAGCATGGGGAGAACCTGTAAACTCCGCACAGAAAAGTTGGCTGGCTTCGTAAGGACTAGAACCGGTGTCATTCTTGCTGTGAGGCAACAGTGCTAACCACTGGGCCACCGTGCCACCCATCTAGGAAAGGTGGAGGAGTAGGAAGGGGGGATTCTTCAAAATAAAGATGGCTGTCATATGGAACTTAGGGTATGTATAGTGACTTAGGAATCATCTGATAGGTGAATCATAAATTGAATAATGCAGGGCTGGCTGCAAGCAATCATAAGCATGTGATCCTCTCGAAATTAGTTTATAAATAAACTTCACTTAAAATCCTGGTCAAAAAAATGAATATGGAAGACTGGGTCAAACAAAGGTCTACTATCAGGTTAAACTATCCACGCACCGGATTTAAAATGTATTTGTAATATAAGCTGAACAGTTAGCATGTTGTTAAATAACAATACTGTATGCATCACTGCCACAAATGCTGGGGGCCTAGAACAAAGCCTCCAGTCACATTATGTGGAAAATGGTGTTGTCTACCAATCTGTACATTCGACAAGTGTGAAATATGAATGTTTGTCATACTATTCAGATGAAAACACTTAAACAAGATTATGAGCCAGCCACAACACTTGTGGAGGCATGAACGATTGATTCGCTCACATCACAACAGCTAAAATATATACTGATGCGGTGTGATTACTGTTTATACAGTCTATTGGTGCAACTCACAAGTGATGGTCTCTTTGTTGCAAGTGCAACCATTTTATTTACCGTGTTTTGAGCTGCTGTGACACGACGGAAGCAATTGTTTGTAATTTTTCTAACAAATTTTCATATCTTTGTTATGTTATTTTCTGTTAAGCTGCTTCTGGCCACAATAATTTTTTTTATGTTTACTTCTAAATGGTAAAAAGAAATGTGTTTAAGGGATTATATGCAACATCCTGAGATCTCCACTTAAGAACAGTGGTGAAAAATCATACTTAAGTAAAAGTACCATTACTTGCCTAAAATGTAGAGTAAAAGTATCTGTTGTAAATATTACTGAAAGTATAAGTAACAAGTAGATCTTTCAAAAGTACTCAAGAGTAGTGAGAAGTAAGCATTACGCTGTAAAAAGCTGATGCATTTACATGTCATTTGTTTTGTGTGTAAACGTAACATTCTGTAGTGCATTTAGTTATTGCTCAGCAGGCACACAATGTCATAAGATGTTAATATTGGGTTAGATTTAGGTCATGAAGTCAGGTGACCAAAATTCATTGTATAGCCAGCGTCTAAAGACAAAGTTATTTTGATGTCCAGTAATGACTTCAAATGATGTTGATATTTGGTTGATTTTAGGTTGTGTTGGAAAGTGACCAAAGTCCAATGTTGAGCCGACATCTTAAGCCATGGTTATATTGACGTTAAATACTGACAATTATTCATCAGGTATGGCAACCAAAATCCAACATCTGATAGACGTCATAGTAGTAACGTCCAAATACCATCAAGCTACAACAATATTAGATATTAATATTCGGTTGATTTAAGGTTGGCCGTTGATGTCGGCCTGACGTTGTGTTTTGATGTCAACCTGATTTACATTTCCAAACAAAATGCAATGTCCCACAGCATTGAGGTAAACAGTCTCTAGTTCAGTTTCTAATGTTTTTGGACATCTTCTACACTTTTAATGCTTCTAAACAGTTTGCTGCAATTATAAATCGCCCATGTTTTGAAAGAGTTCATTATGATGAACCTTCTATGTGCGATTTAATTGGACAGGAATCTGAAGACAGATTTTTCTAATCACCATAGACAAAATAAATAAAGTAGTGACTGCATGTTGAAGGAAAGTAATGAAGTAAAAGTGCAGTAAAAGTGAGCAAAAGTGTAAATTACAGTTCCTGAGAAAAACTACTTAATAACAGTCATTTGAGTATTTATAATTTGTTACTTTACACCACTGCTTAAGTATCATTTAAATGTGCTTTAATGCATTATAAATCTTAAAGCATTAGAATCAGTACTCAGTATCTGCTGATCACCATGACAAGGAATCTGTACTCGGTATCGGCTGCAAAATTCCTGATCGGAGCATCCCTATTAGCAAACGCTGTATAAAGATCTACCCATCCATCCATCCATCCATCCATCCATCCATCCATCCATCCATCCATCCATCCATCCATCCATCCATCCATCCATCCATCCATCCATCCTTCCATCCATCCATCCATCCATCTATCAATCCATTCATCCATCAATCCATCCATCCATGCATAAGATGTTGTCAAACAGCAGCACAAGTCATTAGACTGCCTTTATATTACAGGTTTTCTTTCAAATATGAAATATACCACTATTCTGAATTAAATATAGGGAAAAATATGGGAAAAAAAAAACAAAACAAAAAAGAAAAGAAAACCACATTTTACCCACCTTTCTGCACTAACATATTCCTCTTCAATAGGAATGCAGGGTACTTTTCCCAGTCGAACACCCGTCATAATGTCTCTGAACTGCAGACCGAGGTTTTCTCCAGTGATGGTGAGTCTGGTTCCACCTTGCCGGGGTCCGGTCTCCGGAAACAGCTGTGAAATAAGAAAAAAATAGAGACATTTGTTTAACTGGAGATGGAGAAGACGATTCATTCATTCATTTTCCATCAGCTTAGTCCCTTTATTCATTAATGGTCGCCACAGTGGAATAAACTACCAACTTATCTAACATATGTTTTACACGGCGGATGCCATTCCAATTTAATTCACCTATACCGCATGTCTTTAGACTGCAGGGGGAAGACCAGAGCACCTGGAGGAAAACCCACACAAACACTGGAAGAACATGCAAACTCCACATAGAAATGCCATCTGACCCAGCGGGGACTCAAACCTGCAATCTTCATGTTGTGAGGTGACAGCGCTACCCACTGAGCCACCATGTCACCCTGGAGAAGATGATATATCAGACTATACAGTAATGCAACCACAAATTTCCTTTTTGACATATTTTTTGCCTTGTTAAAAAAAGGAAGAAAAAAGAAAAGGGAAAAGGAAAGTATGGGATTTCTGATATCCAGACCATATAATGGACCACTGGTCAGTGTATAGGTCTTGGGATTGAACCCTGTAGCTCCTTACAGTCTCATATTTCCAACACAAACTCAGACGGCTTGCATTTTAATGGAGACAAATCACCCCTTGGCGCAGGGGAGCAGAAGCCCCTAATGCTGGGCTTGGCGAGACACCTCCCTCCAACCCCCCCTCCATCCATCCTCTAATTGAAACTTATTACCCAGGCTCCCGGATCCACGCTTCAGAGCCGCATGGCGCAAGGCAGTGGGATAATGTGATTTATTTAGCCGGATTATTCTCCGTAACGAGGACAGGTGTGGCATGACAAAACAAATATGGTGAATGATGTGCAGTGGTAACAGCAGGACGGTGCCCCGTAACAGCCATCATGAGGTAATTACAGGTACTCTGTACGCCTGCTCCCATGACCACAAGGTCTCCACGGCAACCTGGAGCTGGGCATCGGCTGCATCACTGCCACAATGGCTGGGGGCCTGGAATTGATCCTTGAGGGACCCGTTTGATGAAAATGCATACCAAACTGTGCATTCAACAAGTGTGAAATGAGAAGATCTGCATTAAGTGTCTGATTTCATTTATGACAGTGCCTCAAGAATTTGCTCCCTTTCATGTGAACTGAATTAGCCAAATCTCACAGGAAGTTGAAATTTAAATTGAAGTGGCATGCAGAGGAGTTCACTATAAAACTGAACGAAATGAACACATATAGGGCTGCACGGTATTGGAAAAATTTAACACTGCAATATTTTATTTCTTTACGATATATATATCAAGCATGAGATCAGCCGAGGACAAAAAAGAAGGACAATGAGACCCCGATTTATTATTATTAAAATATTAATAATAATAATAATTTTCATATAAATATTTGTTATTAGTCACACAATTTAAGTTTGATTTTTTGTTTAAATGTTTAGCAGTTTATGGCGTTTTTTTCCGATGTGGCAACCCCAGATTAATATATATATATATATATATATATTTTATCTCATAAAATAATAATAAGCATATAATAACACTTATGTAACACTTTATAGTCTTCATCATAATAATTGCTCAATAAAATGTATCTTTAATAAACTTCTTTCTGCTCAATTAAAATGCCTAGAACTCTCATAAAATGCTTACATAGTCACAGGCCTTAAATTGATTAACTTTCACTCTATTATGTCCACAAATCTGTGTTTTGACCTGTGGTTCCTGGTCATCTATATCCCCAACTCAAATTTGCATATCCTGCAACTATTGTGGACACTCATTGCGATATCAATGCTCAAACAATATAATGTGCAGCCCAAATATGAACACACACAATTGTGTGCTATCTTTATGGGGACCTCTCATAGACACACAGATGATTGTTATACTTTACAAACTGTATATGTTTATCCCTTACCCCTAAACCCAGCCCTCACAGTAAACATTCTTCATTTTAACATTTTCAAAAAACCTTAATCTATGTCATTTTTGATCCTTTTGTCCTGATGGGGACGAAAAAAAAAAGGTTGCTATACTAGTGAGGAAATTTGGAAAATACACACGTAAAACTGACTGGTCGCTTCACATAATGATCTAAACAAGCCATATATGGAGCAGACTTTATGCAAGTCTTCATGCGAAACTCAAGTAACCCAATCATGAGCTGGTCAGAACAGCTACAATATGCATGTATACGTCTGCACAGTACTGTAAATGCAAACTGTACAGATGAAGCACATACAGTACTGCAAAAATGACTTCAATTCTGACCTGAAAATTTGCAGAATTTGGACTGAAGACTGTCGCTTGGGATTACACCAAAATTAACCTACATTAGATGTCTTTTATTATGCTCAAAAAGAAAAAAAAACAATTTATACGTTTCTAATTAAATCAGCCTCAGAGCAAAATGATAGATAAAAATAATATCTCTCAACATGAGTGGGAGAACACTAATACACACACACATGCGCGCGCTCTCCCCCAGGACCTTGTTAAATTATACACAGTTAAGTAAATCTCCCTTCATTATCAGCTCTGGGTAACGATACATTTCAAAAATAAAATATATGCAATTACTGGGATTAAAGTGCAGTAGAATGCACCAAGTCTCCTGCTGATTTCCAGTGGCGAGATTATTACTGTTTGTGTGTCGCTTATACCCCCCACCACCCCTCACCCGCCGCCAACGGGTGGGAGGACGACAATAGAGAGAGAGTGGGAGGACGGCGGGTGAAAAGAATAGGGGCAGATTGGGGCGTCTGAAGAACCCCGTCTTCCAGATCCCATCCGCCCACAGACCACCTGCACGGTATGTAAGACGCAACGTTTTCCTGATGTTGCGTTTGTCTCCTGTCTGTCTGCTCTTCAGTCTTTCATCAATATAGCACCTCAATCTTCCAAACAAAAAAAACCCTATTTGGCGACGAATTACAGTCAGATTCTACTAGTAGAAACATCCACTTGCGCTACTCAGCTCTCAGCAACACATTCCGCCTGGCACCCCCTCCCCGCACATCTACGGTTGCATGCTTCCTGATGTAATTGAGGTTAAGTGTCTTTGCTTACGGGTACAACAGCTTCACATGGGATTTCACCCAGAAAACCTCCTATTTATAGAGCCTCCGCCAATCTGCTGAAGAATGGGAAAAACGCATCAAAGTTCTGCCATATCTGTCGCTTCAGTTATGTAGCTTTGCCGGGGCCCTAATTTGCTTCTTTTTTTCCTCTATTTTCCCATCCAATATTGCTAGTTTGTAGCATATGTTCTCAAATCCCTCTCCCCCTAAGCCAATCTCAGAGCCTCGTATAGACCATAGAGTCAAAAATTGGCTTTTTTGTACAGAGTGATGCCAATAAAGAATACAGCATAACGAAACGAGGAGGGGGAAAAGTGGTCTGTAATTGGTTTCAGAGGGCTTGTTTTACATGTAGCTTGATGGCGTCCAATCAGGGGTGGACTTGGATGGGCGGCGGCAGAAGTTCGTCTCCTTAAAGGAATGCGAGGCTTAAGACTATTTTCATTTGTTACCTACATGAGAAGGCAAAGCGACTGATCCAATCAGAGGTATTATTTCTGTCTAGCATTTCTGCAAAACAAGGCAGAACAACATATTTTACATAGACTACCTGACAAAAGTCTTGTTGCTTATCCAAGTTTTAGGAACAGCAAATAACTTAACTTCTAGTTGATCATTTGGTATAAGAAGTGGCTTACATGAAAGGCAAAGGCCTCTAGATTAATAGATTAATAATTAATATTTTACCAAAATAAAACATGATCAACCCTTGATTTTTTATTATTTAATTAGGACAGTGCGGTCTGACTTTGCTTAGACAAAAGTCTTGTCATTTAAGAGAAATAATGTACATATTGTTATATAAAGTCATGGTGCAGTGTGAAAAAAAAATAATATTGTGTATGACTCCCGTGAGCTTGGATGACTGCATCCATACATCTCTGCAATGACTCTACTAACTTAATTGGGCTGGCCAATTCTGGAGCACCTTGATCTTCTTCGCTTTTAGAAACTTTAATGTGGAGGCTGAAGTATGAGAAGGAGCGCTATCCTGCTGAAGAACTTGCCTCACCTGTGGTTTGTAATGTAATAGGCACCACACATTTCTTGATACATCAGACTGTTGATGTTGCCCTCCTTTCTTCAGATCTCTTGCACTTCCTTATACTGAATGTAACAACAAACCATGATTTTTCCATCACAAAACTTGCTTGATTTCTGTAAGAATCTTGAGTCTATGTGGGTTCCAATAGGTCTTCCGCAGTATTTGTGGTGGTTGGGATGCAGTTCAACAGATGATTTATCTGAAAAATCTACCTTCTGCCACTTTTTTTCAAAGGATCACCCAGAGGTTAAGTTATTATTTGTTGCTTGTACAACTGTGATCTACGACAAGACTTTTTTTCTTTCAGTGTCAAAGCTTAAATCTGCAGAAAGAGAAAATTCCAGAAGAAAAAAAGCATGAAAAACCTTAATGTTGCCCTCGGTCAGGTGCGCTTTCCTCTAGTGTAATTAGAAATGGAGAAAAACTACATCCTGAGCAAGCTAATGTGATATTGATGCAGAATAGGTGATTTTTAGGACAAAAACAAGACCAAAGGAGCACCTTAAGAAGAGTTACTTTCATGTTTTTTGTTCAGCCAGCATGTCAGAAAGTGTCTCAGAAAAACAGCAATGCTAACGGCTGGCTCTCTTAAAGAATTATACACCTCTTTGGCCTTAAGAAAGAAGAAAAAAAAACACAACTTTGAGGTCAGCAGACGGCTTCATCAGAGACAAAAACGCAGACAATAAGACAGACATAAAGCAAATTCAATTACGCCTCATACCCAGGGGTCTCGGTGTAGAGAGAGACAGAAAATCCCAGTTTAAATACTTTATTCAAAATGAAATTAGCAGCTTATCCACCGGCTAATATACTAAGTCACGCGGCTCTGATGTGAACAAGGGAATGAGTGTGGTAGAAATGTATAAACCACTAAAAAAGGGATCTAAAAA